ATGGTGGTGGAGCCCCACTTAGCCACACAAGCGCTGTTAGAAACCACAGTGCAGAGGCTGAGGCTACGTCAGCACATTGGCCGCGTTGCAGTGGTGCTGCTGCAGCACTTCAGTGTAGACACTGAGGTCTGGTTTACACTGCAGGGCAGCTTGCATCGACCTAACTCTGGAAGCGACTACACTTCAGTGTCGCCCCCACCGACATCACTGCCTCGCTAGGCCGACTTAATAACTCCACGAGCGGCGGAGAGTCACGGACGACGTAGTTAGGTCGACACAGTGTCAGCGTTCACACTGCAGTGCTCTCGTCGACTGTTACTGGCTTTCTGGAGCCGTCCCACAATGCCCCACACGGACTGTACAATCGACACAAGCGCTCCTGGTGAGCACGTGCACCGCCCACACAAGGAGTGCCGTGTAGACACGCACAAGTGCCAGAATACAGTGGCAGCTGTATGCTAGGTTGACTTAATTGTGTAGTGTAACCATGGCCTTATTACAGGGCTGGGAGAGCTTCTCCCCTCACTGTTTGTAATCCCCCTCCCTGAGAGGCGGTAGCTAGGTTGAGGGAAGGATTCTTCCGTTTTCCTAGCACTGTCTATGCTGGGGGTTAGCTCAGTTTAACCGGGTCTCTCAGGGATGTAGATTTCTCACACCCCTGAGCGCCGTAGCTGTGCCAATGTAGCTTTGCAGTGTCGACCAGGCCTGACACTCGTGCACAGGGAGGCTGCTTCCACCTTCACGAGTGGCTGGGGAAGGAGAGAGCGATACAGTGAGCCAGGGCCGATTACAGCCCCGCTACTGCCAGCCGGCTAGAATGCATCCGAGAGCCGTGCCTAACGCACGCGCTGCTGCGGGAGTGAGTGAAGGACACTAGCTCAGGTACTGGTACAGCGCCTGTCGCTTTGGTACCTAGAAGAGAAAACCAGGAAAGCCGGGCAACAACTAGGCCCAGTCAGAACCAACCCCCTGTCCCAGTCCTTCTAGGTGGGAGTGGGGAAGGAAATTCACTCCCAATTACTGTTCAGCCTGGGCCATTGAGTTTGACCTTCTGAGTTCCTTTTGTTTGAATGAACCCAGCCCAGTTAAGGGGGCGAATGGGTGAGCGTGTGGAGGCTGCGGACCGGGGCCTGGAAGAGGGGGGATAAAGAGCAGGGCAGTGCAGAGGCACCCCGGCCACAAGGGGCGTATGAGGGCGGCCAGCTTGTTTGCGCATAACAAATGGACCCCCTACTCCAGGGGAATCTGGACAATCGTGGGACTCCCTAATTCCCAAACGCGCAGCGACCTGACACACACCGGGGTGGAGACGGTCCTCCCCATTATGTCCTCTTTCTCTCTGATTATTAGAGCCGGAAGCATGTCCACTTCTGGCAGGTTGAGCTGGGGTTGCCACCTTTCTGATGGCTGGTAACTGCACCCTCGAGGCCACGCGCCCTGCCCCGCCCCTTCCCCCAAAGCCCCGCCCCTGCTCCGCCTCTTCCCCCAAAGCCCCGCCCATCTCTGCCTCTTTCCCCGAAGGCCCCGCCCTTGCTCTGCCTCTTCCCCCAAAGCCCCGCCCCATTCTGACTCTTTCCCGAAGGCCCCGCCCCATCTCTGCCCCTTCCCCCAAGGCCCTGCCCCCTTCTCTGTCTCTTTTTCCCGCCACGATCAAAAACACCCTGGACATCAGGGCTTGTCAAATGGCACCCAGACACACGAACTGAAACCCGCACAGTCCGGGTGAAAACCCGAGGCTGAGCTACCCTTGTCATGAAGTGTGTGCGCCCCAGGATCGACTCCTTACAGAGAAGCACGTGGGTAACTAGTAGATGGACCTGAGCCTGATTTCAGGGAGGCTGGAGAATGAGGCCTGACGAGGGTGAGCATCCCATTGGATCGGGACAAAGCTGGTCCCTTTCCTTCTCTTAGATCAGCGGTTCTCAAACTGTGGGTCAGGACCCCAAAGTGGGTCATGACTCGTGACCCCATTTTAATGGGGTCGCCAGGGCTGGGTTAGACTTGCTGAGGCCCGGGGCCGGAGCCGAAGCCTGAGCCCCAGTTCCGTGGGCCAAAGCCGAAGACTGAGGGCTTCAGCCCTGGGCAGTGAGGCTCAGGTTACAGGCCCCCTGCCCGGGTCTGAATCTCTTGGGCTTCCGCTTTGGCCTCCTTGCCCAGGGCAATGGGGCTCAGGCTTTGACTTCCCCCCACACTCCTCCCTACCCAGGTGGTGGGGTTCGGGCAGGGTCAGGCTTCAGTCCCCTCTCCTGGGGTCGTGTAGTAGTTTTTGTTGTCAGAAGGGGGTC